AAAGAGTTCACTTTGATGATAAACACAGTGAATCTGCACTCAAAAAATATTACAGGATACTGTATTTTGGCTTTCACTAGAGAGTAAGAAAGAATAAAGTAGGCCAGAGTTATATATCAAACATCACTAAACTGTGTGATTTAATCTTCAAAGCATTCAAGAATATTTGGAACCAAGCTACCATGCAGCTGTATTCGTTTAATTAGTCTGTATTTAATCATTTATTTATTCTGAAACATCACACAAGTTGATATTTAAGAGCCATGACATAAGATCACTCAAATTATTGTGTGACTTTGAATTACCAACACTGGCATATGTGAGATACTCAACCATAAATAAAGGGCGTTATACAGACTTAAACAAATCTGTAAGCTGTTTTCCAGTTGTAAATTCTCCTGCTAATAGTTTATGAGACAACTTCTTAAAACTCAAGTGTAAATAAAGCGTCCCCCACACCTTCCTATTACTCAAGGAAGGCAACATTTCAACATTAGAAAAAATATGTTATCTATTTACTGCTTCTGTGATTAACAATGAAATCTGCCGACAGCACCTCTTAGTGTTACCTTCATGGGACTAAGATCTCCATGGTGGGATTGATTCCTTGGACATCTCAATCCTTTTGTCCATTCCACAGGCAGCCTTGGTTTTTGTAACTAAATCCATCCAATAGTTCTAAACTCTTCAGAAGATTGATGTCATTAAAGGGTACCAAATGAGTGGATGACTGACACTCCAAGATAGATTAATTTTTAATTTTTTTTCCAAACATAACCTTCCCTTTTTCCCCAAACTCAACCTTCCTTTAGAGGCAACATTTCTCATCCAGGTAGCTTTGCACTTTCTGCTGTTTGATTTAAAATAACCACAGCAATTAAGAGATGTGTGAAATTCTTCAGAATTGACAGCTGAAGAGAACAGTTGTGATAAATACACTAAACCAACAAGATCAGCAGTGGGAGGCTGGGCGGTGACAAGCAGCAGTGTGACATCTGACGGAAGCCAAAGTCACAGCAAGGGGGAGAAAAGTGGGCGTGAGGAAGCATCCTGCCAAGCGTGGACAAGGAGAGAGGAACTGACAGTCTTCCTTTGGACTCAGGCCAGACCCTGTCACCTATAATTAAACATAGTGTCACAAGAAACTGAACTTGGATGGGTTTAGAGGGGTGGGGGGTTATTTTTCCCACTCCCCACCACCGCGCAACCTCAGGAGTTAGTTAAAGGTGTTAACCCTGGCACTTGATTCAGCAGGTAAAACCAGTGAGATGCTGGAGTAGGTAACAGTGGAAGAGGAACTACAGCTCTACTCACCTGTGTGAAAGCCAATTGGCTTCAAAGCAGTTTCTAGGTTTGCCTCAATTGCAACATATAAATGGAAATCAGCAAAGATTCTTTTCCACTCCTACTCTGGAGCATAAACCCCATGTTTTAAAAAAGAAAGGTCATGAAAAACCACATGGTGACTATCCAGTGGCCTCAAGTTCCAAGCCCAGTGTCATTACACTTGCTACTTTCCACCAGAAGAACCTCAAGACGCTGCCATACAAGACAGACATCCCCAAGACACCAGAAACTTGGACTACACAAGCCACAAAGTTGATAAATGAAATCAAACCAGACTGCACAGGCAGGAACCCAGATGGTGATTAGCAATGCAGAACGAGCTGTGCTTTGGGCTGGGCCAGGACAGCAGCATGATGACTGGAAAACTGTTCCTGTGTTAGCCACTCCCCGTCACACACCTTCCAGCCCTCAGAAACAGAAACAGCTTCACATGGTGAATGGCAACACAGCAACAAACCACCTCTTCCCCCACCAAACTTTTTACTTCTAAACTATTTTTCCTGCTCCTAACAGGAGGCAGTGGCATGTTTCACCTTTTCATTTTTGATCATCCACATAATTAAATCAGTGGCCTTGAGGAATGCTACGTGTAATTGAAATACAGAGAGCTGGCGTTAATCCTTCTGGTATCCCACAAATTATCATGAAAACATAACAAAAATTCACAGGAAAAAAATTCTGATGGCAAGGTTTGTGCTAAATCTCAAAAACAAATCATTAAGAGCTACTTTTCAAGAAAAAAAAGAGTTCTCCCTGCAGTACAGAGATCACTGTAGTGTGACAGCAGTGTCAGAGTGCGCCACTTGCTGCAGGGCATTGCCATCTGCAACAGCACAACATTTTGTCTCCGGTAAATAAACACATCTGCCTTTGCCAGTGTCCTCCCCACTGTGCTGCCCATCTGGAGCAGGTGAGCTGGAAGACAGGCGTGGGCTCAGGAAGGAGAGGAGACACGGGGAGGATCAGGCCTCAAGGGACATGGCAGAGAGGAAGAGAACAGTGCCACATCAATGCCACAACCTGCTGGCCAAGTTTACCTGTTAAATGACTTCTGTTAGTGGCACTTTAAATCTCATGTAAGAAATGGCTGAATCTGCTTAAGTGGGCAGGAGACTCAGTGCCAGCATCACCCACACCAGCTGGGCAGGTCAGATGCCCTTGAGATGAGCAACCAACACCACGCAGCCAACAGCCGCCTGGGTCAGGCACAGGCAGCATCATTCCTCCACATCAACCTCAAACTCCACCCAGAGTTCCAAAAAACACAGACAGACCTTCCAAATCACACCCGAGCAGAAGCTAAAGCAGGCAGCATCGCTGCCAACCACCTTCTACCAACCAGACTAAACCCATTTAAACCACAAGAGCAACGTTCCACGTGTGAGACAGAGGCAGGACCCTGCACAGAGTCAGTTCTTCCACTGACTCACTCTTACTTTAGTAACTTGAACACTTGCTGCCTTCAGCTGCCATCCAGGTCAGAAAGGAGAACAACGATCTCAGGATGAGTTCTTGAAGAAGGCTCTGGGCCTCACTCCACACACACATAATTCTCAACAATGTTAACATCTCTCTGATGTTAATCCTGACCATTATCTGCTCCTGTAAACCATCACTGCAGGCCTGTGCAGTACACTGTCAGAGCAGCAACACAACCCTTCCCATGTCCTATCCCCAACAGATTGGGTCAACTTCATTCTCAACACTGTATTTCTTCTTGTTTTCTTCCATTAGCTCATTAAGAATGCTAATGAAATGCTTCCTAACCCTGGATCTTCTCAAAGTCTGTTTGCCCCTTCATTACATCTTCTCACACTTTGAAAAAAATTACCATGAGAAAAATCAGTAATTGCAGTTTAGTAACTTGAAAATACAGCTCCAACTTGGATTTGAGATTTACTGAAAGCCTCATGTTGCTGTTTACAAAAGGGACTTGTTTTGTAAGCACATCAAACAGCTTTGCTCTATTAAATCATTTTCCAAGAAGATTAAACGGATTCGGTGCATTTGCATGAAAACTGACAACCTTATCTCGATGTTAAAGAGGTTTAATTCCCTTCACTGTCTGCAGTGGTTGTGAGAAAATGTTCCTTGGGCCCAAGGCTGCAATTTTAAGATGATAGTTGTATCAGTTATTGATAAGTGATGTGGTAAGTTCTTTAATTAAGCAAATCGAGTTATATTTTAACAAGCCACCCTTTCAGCAAAGTGAATTCATCACTAGAGACAGAAGCCACCATCTTTTTCATCAGGCCCTGTTACATGAAAATGGAACTTTTCCCCTGTAAGTCTTTGCCAAAATCTTTCAGCTATTACTCACTCGACTCCGAAGATAGTCAGCCAGGTTTCGGCGTGTAAAGTTTGCAGCAGCAGTGGGAGACAACTCATAACCTGGAGAAGAAATGTGTGCATTTGATAACAGAACAAATCCATATTCATGTTTCACTCCCTGACTTGCCACTCCTATTCTGAAATAGGATATTCTTCAGTGACAAAACGTCAGGCCATTTGTCTAATTCCAGTTTATTCTGGAAGCCACAAGCAAAAAAAAGGGCCCTGAAAATCCAGGTACCTCATTATCTGTATAGACTGTTAAAATACATCACTTCAAACAATTAAAACACTATGGGTACATAAGCCTGAGTTTTTCAGTCCAGTATATCAGGAAAACTGGTAACAGTTATCATGCAATGGATAATTTAAGAGAAATATTTTCCTAACAAACCTATTATTGTGTTATTTATATTAGAAATAGATTAGCTGGGCTTTGGATAAACCTTTTGGTTTATACAGGATAGTCCAGTCTCCATTTCTTCACCCAGCTTTCACTACCACCCTTGCTTGACACTAAAAATGCAGATTAAAGCCAGAGCAGCTTTGAGAACAGCACTTTCCACCACCATTCAGCTGTAAAGTCCACCTGTCACCAACCCTGCTTCCAAACCCTCCACGAGGAGCTGTTCTCCCTCACTCACCATTCCTCATTTTGTAGAGCTGAACGTTTTTCTGGATGTACTCTGCAAACTGCACAGTGTCTCCAGCCTCCCCAACACACAGGAGTAGGATCTTTTCACTCATCTTAAACATTTTGTCATGGTCTAGGCAAAGAAAAATGACATCAAGAGCCACGGTCAGAAGAAAGAACAAATTATTTTGCCAATATCAAAACACATTGTGATTTCTTTCAAAGGCAAGGAAGTAAGAGACTTGGATAACGACACACTGCACCAGAAGCAAATGCTTTAGTTTAAAGCTGAAATATCAACACATAGTGCAAAAGCAATCTTAAATTCAGAACCAAATTCCATATCAAACAACCTCCTCTTCCCAATATCTAGGACTGTCTCAAAAATTATCAATTTAGATAAGTGAGACTTTTTCAGAAACCAGTTTTTACCTGTCAATATTTTTTGTAAAAAAAATAAAGAAAAAAAGATATTTAAGTACTGATTATAAATTATAAATCAGTCCACTGATATAATGGAAATTAAGGAACACTGAGCTACAGTTTTACTCATAACTGCAGTTTGAAAAACTTGTCTGTGTGTATTTGAGGGACTCCAAGGTGCCACAGTGACACCACTGCAGAGGGTTCTGTGCTCACACCAACGCCGCAGCCTCATCCAACTACAGCAAACTGGCACCCGGACAGCCTGGAGAAATTCAAGGAGCTGTTGGTGGGAAAGGAAGAAAACTTCTCTACACTGAAGGCAGCTCTGTGGAACAACACTCCATCTCCAGCTCTGAATTTCACTGTCAGTTTAATAAATGCTGCTGAATAATCCCTGTGGCAATAAAGTACCCAGCAGTGGCACAGAAGCCTCCTGTCTTTAGAGTTGAGGCCACTGAAACTGACCAGCCCTTGCAATTGATTCACAAACTAAAGCAAGTGTTAGTAAACACCAACAGTCTAAACAAATACCCAAAGTTTGGGGTTTTTCCTCCTCCAAATACAAATAAATCCCGTGTCCTAAGTCCATTTTCCTTCAAGTTTGTCAATAAATCTACTTGGGATCAACCTTAACTTACAAAACATGGTTTAAAGTGATTACATTTGTATTTTGTGCCACCACCTTTCCCAACCATCTAACACCATTCCAACTGATTTGTACAGACCTGAGGTGAAATAGTTTACAAAAGAGCACTAACTCTAAGTCCTCATCTTATGGGAAGTTTATCACTACTGCAATCTAAAAAAAAACCAGCTTCCAAACCACAGTATTTAGATTAAAAAAGATGACTACATCTAGAAAACAAGCTTCAGTCTACACCTTGTAAACAAGCTTCAGTCTAGGTTATTGCAACAGGAGGCAGAAAAAAATCATTTTAGAGAATTTCAAAGGCTTGATAATCCTCCAGGTGTTTTACCACATAAAGAAACCAAAACCACACAACAGTTTGGCTCAGAGGCCTTGTGCAATGAATTTCACTGGTGCTTTCCCTCCCAATATTTCCTTTATTTTCCATGAACTACATTTTACTGGTGAACTGGACACAACCAAGATTTCACTTCACCTGTGGGGCAGTTTTTTAACCCAAACCTTGGTCTGTGCCGCAATATCCGTGTGTTAACAAGTCAACACTTCCCTGGACCACTGAGTTCAGGTGCCAACCCCACCCCGAGCAGTCATGAGAAGCTGTGGAGGCCCCATCCCTGGAGGTG